TGATCTGAGCAAACAAAGACCCTGGATTCATTGATCCCCTTTCAGGAAAAAATAAATATACGGGTGGGGATGGGGAGCTTGGCTGCTATTGGAAACAAACTTGCACTCAAACTGCTGCCTAAGCCTAAGAAATAAAAATAACGCTCAAGTATTAAGTAGCATAAAAAGAAGGAAGTAAGAATGACCATGGGGGTCGCTCATAATGTCCCATCGTGACAACGGAAATATGCGAGACATGCAGCAGCTGCTGGATCCTCACTGTGACTCACACCACTCTCCAACATTATTCATGTGTGGCACCAGTGATCCAAAGTATGTCAAGGATACCCTCTAAAAAGGAATTTTAACATTAAAAGAGGTTGGTTTGCAATTCGTTTAGAAGCACTGGTGCACAGGTTCAAAAATATTTAATAAGCGAAAGGATTGACAGCAGGTCATCCCTTTTCTGCATATTCCCCTCAAAAGGAGAAAACTTTACCATAGCAGAAATACTAATAAACCTCATAAACCATGTCGGAAAAAATTGTTATTCTTCCATTTTCATTTTTTTGCTTTCTTTACTTTCTGTAGGTTATATGCAATGGAGCCTGCGGGTCACAATAACTTTAGGTAACATAAGGTCATGTTTATGTGGCCTCCCTGTTGATGCATTGGGACCTCTGTCGATGGTCTCTCACTCATCCATACTTCACCAGGAAATAATCCCAACGGCTTTAATGCTAGACTAGGAACAGGGGGGGTTGGTGAGTGTGTTGCAGGGTACTCGTCCCAGTTTACAAGACTAGGTCAAGCAGGGTCATGTCTCACCAAATGCTGGGGCCTCTTTAAAAAAAAAACAAATGTGCGTGGGGCTCCAGCTTCAGTCAGAATAACAGATTTCATAACAGAGTAGAATTAAATAAGAAAAACTATAAATGCTGGATATTTTAATCTATTAATCTTTATAGATCCCCATGTTGATGTTAACACTGCTGACACTAACACTAATTGTTTCAATTACATTATTAAAACGGTCAACTGTAAATCTCCCGCAGCGACACCCCGAATCACACTCATATGCAGAGCTACATAACTAGGCCCTCTTTCCACAGTCACATTTAAAGCATTTGAACCAAGGCCAACGCTGACGACAAGCACGCTTCCGTCATGGCCAGAGCCTGCATAATTGTCAGCAAAAGATGTAGAGGGGGGAAAAAATGAAGTGAGAATAGAAGATTGGGGATAGAGATGGCAGAACGGCGGAATAAGAGGGCGTATTAGGCTCAATTAAGCTTTCGGGCTTTCATTAACCTAGATTTAGGGAGGGGGGAAAAGCCACGGCTGAATAATGCGGCGAATCTGACTTGCTTCTCTGCTTTGTGAGCTTTATCAAGACTGGAGAGAGAAAGAGAGAGGCGGGGGGCAAAATGTGTGTCAGCTCTCAAAAGCCACCAAGAATTTCATTAGACACCCAGGGGCAAACCCCCCCGCAGCCACAGCATACCTTATATTAAATGAAATCTAGTAAAACAAGTCACTGTAATCAAATGGCTTAACTCCATAAAAGGAACTACTGTGCTGATGTGGGAAATGTTTGGCTTCTTTCAAGCCCATAACTATAAAATATGTTTGGTTAGATCTCATCATTCATTATTAGTGAAGTGGTCAGAGAGAAAGAAAAAAATCAGCCTTCCATTTAAAAAAATATATATATTTCTTCCGATATGCCTCCAGTCAACAGTTAATCTTAGAGTGAATTTAAAAACTATTGAGAAGGAAAATTATTTTTCCTAAAGTCTCTTTATAGCGGTCAATGGTCCACTGAAGCCATGAGAGAGCGAGACATTCAGCAGAAAACAGGAAGGCTGAATGAAATACTGCTAATCTGCATCATTTCTCAACCAATGTCATAAAACATGGTGGATTTAGAAAAACTGACAGAGTTTGGGGGATTTTTAACGACTATACACAGAGAGTATCAATCTGTTACGCTAGTTTCACTAATCACAAACGAAATGCGGATCCACTTAAAAATCTCAGACATCGCTTACCCTCTCAGACAGGAGTTTTGCATCTAGGGCTTATCCATCAAATGATGAATTCATCCTAAAATTCATCAAGGCAAATTATCTGCCTGGAGCCTTCATTTAATATCTCACACACCGCGTTCTGGGTGGGTGGCTACCACCGATTGTGTCCTATCCTGCTGATACGTGAATGCCAAATGCAGTTATTGGCAATGATGAGAGACAGCAATGGGCAAAAACGAGCAAAGGGAAAGAGATGAAGTTTTAAAGGTGTAGGATGCCTTAACTTTACAAAAGGTAGTCGGCTGCAATCATCTGATGCAGCTTCGGTCGCAGCAGCTTAGCTCTCAGCGCTACTTAACCATCTCTGCTCATCCCCCCCACCTTTGCTGTTGGCAGGACTTTGTTTTGATTGGTCAGCATTGGAAAAAAAAAATAAAACACGTGGGTATAGAGGATCAAACCATTATTTGAGAACAGAGAGGGGGGCAAATGGGTGCAGCTGTAGGGAGAATTTTTAATCATTCCTCAATTTACCATAAAGGGAAAGCTTTTACTGATGTTTATTTCATTTTTTTTCTGGCTACAGATACCCAACTTCTGTTTTCTCATTTAAAAAAGGTACAAAAAACTTTACATTTATTCCCTCTAGTCCTATTAGTATTAAAATTAACTTTGTTAATGTGGTGGACAATCTGAAGAATACGAATTTTGCTTTTGTCTGTTTACTAAAATAATCTTTAACAGCAACATTGTCTGCTCCATTTCATACAATCGATTGCCAATAACAAAAACAGGGTTCTCATTTCTAGTTATATTAATTCTAAAGATAAAAATAGTAAAAGTTTAGATTCCATCCACCAGAATGTGATTACCTCTGCTAACTGGCAGCCCACAATTACCATTATCTAATCAACAGGATGTCTTCAATTTAGCACATACAATGTCTGCTGTTTACATGCTAACTACAACCATTTCCAGGCCACCGGATGTGTATTCCCTTAATTAGCCGAAAAAAAAGAGAAAGACGGCTGCAATGAAATGGTGGAAAGATTTTTAAACAGGTATCCCCCCCACCACTTTGATTGTATATCTTGGATGAAATGCAATCTAATATGAGCTGGAATCATGTTACTGACGTCTTACGCAACCTTTAGATAGCATTACAGACACTCAGGCGGGCCCCATTTGACAAGGAAAAAAAGAAAAGCAGACTGAATCAGCAAGGACTACTCATCAATAACCAAAGGAGATGTATGCATGCTGAATTTAGCCGAGAATGTTATTTATAACATGATAGAAACTCAACGTCAGACTCTGATCTATTTTGGTTTGCAGACATGTTTAAGGTTCTAGCTGACTCGTAATTCAGTATTCAGGAAATGGCACAGCTAATTGAAAGCTGACCGAATGCTGCTGCGTGTTTTTAAAAAAGCATTATAAAAAAAAAAAAAAAAAGATAATTCAAGATTAAAACAGCCTGGAGCGACTGGTCAAAAACGACAACCAAAAACAGCATGGTGGAAATAAAAAAAGGGGGGAACTTTGGAGATTACTCCGGACACTGTGGGGGCTTTGTCTTTTAAAACATGCCACAGGAGATCCTCATTAGAGAATGGAGTTTCATTAACATCAGCCCACGCTGCTGTGCCCTGCTGCATTACAATGACACAGGAGTGCCCCTCACTGTCAGGGAAATCTCCTCACAGCAACAGCTCGCTGGGGGAGGGGAAAGAAGAGAAAAGACAGAAGGGGTGGCAAACAAAAGAGAACCTGATTACTGCTGGTCACGGCTCATCCAAGCCAACACAGGGAAATCCATCACCTGCAGGATCAAATGCAAACTTGTGCACTAGGTAGAGCTCAGTGAAAGCAGAATCCACCCATTCAAACCACTCTCTTTCCTCCCTCCTTTATTCTCTAGTCACTACCACATCCCTCTCGCCCCTCCCTCCATCACTCTGACTCACAATGACGACGGCATGCAAGTTTTAGGCTCACACTGTGAAACTCAACACAACCGGGAATGTTTTCTGGTCCAAATGACCTCAAGGCCCTAACCCCTCTAATGACACACTGGTGAGATATTCCAGCTTTTATTACGTCTGCAGACCTTCGCACTATTTCAAGTAGTTGTATCCCTATATGGCAAACATTAGACTAAACAGGAGTAGAAGGTCATATCCAATGTATCCATTGCCTTTATTCAAACAAATATGCAGTTTTTGTATATCTTGTTGCTGACAACAGCAAAACTGTTTTATTTTAGCATTTTATTGTTGAAGTTAGCGGTGTGAAATGCAGTTGGGCACCAAAGGATTAAAGCTGAATCTTCAGGCCAAAAAGTGGTGGAGTATGATAGAATACTTCATATTTAAATCTGCAGAAATGCAACCTTTAATTGGGACAAAAAATATGGAAAAAAACAACGGAGCAACCTAATTAAAGCAAACCAGTCTGCCAGCAAAAGGCATGTTATGTTTAATAACTAGATTTTTTTGTTTAATTACAATCACAACAGTATTCAAATGTGTATTGTACTTCATGTCATTGCAACATGCTGCATCTAACCAAAGCATCAGGGAAGTTTTATTCTTTTAATCAATGCTAGAAGCTAATGTTCATCTAAAATGCTAACAATGCTGCAAAAAAAGGGTAAGCAACCCCAAAGTGTAGGCCAACACTTAACAACCTACATTCTTTCCCCCTGCTGGGGCAAAAAAAAAATGGGGAGGGAAGCAAAAGAAGGTGCAGACGTTGTTAAGTTGAACCCCGTTTGAGCTGTTTTACAAGGCAAACAACATGGGTTGCAGCACCACACAACTGCACTGAGGCTAATTGTTTAAATATGTCAGCCTTTTTCAGATCCTCCCCCTGAAATATAACACACGGAGGCAGGCACCGTTGACGGGAATGCCAAGACAAATACACACTCAAACCCAGATGCAACCATCATCCGACATGAAACAGAACCAAGATTATTTCGCCACTCACCGTTGAAGAGAGGCCATCCTTCCTCTGTGATATCTGGCATCACCACCGTGTAGAGATCTTCAGAGAAGCCCGGCCTGCATGGTGGGGCACCCCTGGCCTCTGCTGCAATCTGTTGAAGAAAGGGGTAAATAGGGTTGCAAAAATGAGTCATAAATCAGCCTTTAAAAAAACACTCCTTCTCCAAAACCTCCTGGTCATATCCTGAACTCTTCGCACTTGTACAAAGCATCTGTTGTTTTTATAACGGGGGCCGCAATTAGGATAATGAGGGCAAAGGGGTTAAGCATTACCCAAAGAGCATGGCTAGGAAAGAACAAGCCCCATTTGTCCCAGAGAACAGGGGCCCAGGAACAGGGTAGTGGTCTGCCAGCCCCTGCGATCAAAACATTACGTCTGGACAAACATTCTTTGCTTTGAAGTACAGGAACGAAGGAATAAAAGCAAACGGTAGCAACATAGGGAGTGGGAAATAAACATACATGCGTGAATGTCTGAGCAAACACTAGAAAACCACTGCATTTTTTCCTTTATTTCAAAGAGACTGCTGGATAATCACCAATCAATATACTCCGTTATGCGTTTCTCTTCTCGGCTTTTTCTTAATATCGTCCTTACAAAGCATTTTGAGCTGTAGCAGAAAATTAAAGCCAAACATGGGTAAAACTCAGTATTTCGTAAAGAAAGAATTCAGCACAGACTACCAGGGCATGACTAAAAAGCATGCTTTGATGTTTACATAACCTCAGCATTAGAGAAGCACTGGTCAGTGTTTTTTCTGGCCAATACACATTTCCGATTTTACTTTGGGAGGAACTGCTGATTCGGATATTTTCCCCCAGTAACTAGAACACAATAAAGTTCAAAAATCATAATATCTAAAATAAATGCTCTGGATTCTTTTGATGGAGGGAGCAGTTTGGAATCACTGCTTTGTGTGTTAAAAGCCAAACTCCCAAACAATTATCTTTTTTTTTTAGAAAAATGAAAAAAGGTACAAAATGCATGAAATTGGTTAATATATTTATAATCCAAAAATGCTGAGAGTTCTTAAAATAGTGAAATAGGGGGGAAGAAGTAGAAGAAGAAAGCTAGTGATCAGTATTACGGTACATGAAAACAAATTATCCAAGTATCACCTACTGGGCCCTAAAGCTATAAGATTAATTTGCACTAATACAGACACAAGCACACACATTTGTTCACAAAATAAATAATCCAGAGACAACGAGCAGAATTCACTTAAATGATGATTTAAAAATAAAAAATTATATAATGATAAGGGGAAAAAAACATTATTTGAGGGAGCCATTAAGGGGAGTGTTAGCAAATTCCAATAATTATCTTTTTTTTTTATTATTATTATTTTTGCCTACAGTGATCAGTGCATCTGTAGCCAACATTCTTTTTAGCTCTGATATACAAATCTTGCCCCTTTTTTCACTCTTTTTAAGGAGTTTAAAACGGGCTTTAAGAAAAGGGTGGGGGTGGGGGGAGCAGATCTGGGCTCCCAGCCAATCAGTCATGGCAGCAGGTTGCATTTTTTTCAGGATTTAAATGTTAATACACGTCGGACCTTAGAGAGAAGCGGATTTTAGAAGCAATAAAGGCAGAAATTAAACCACCATCTTTGTATTCTCCTTTTATATAAGACGCATTCTAGATGCTTCATCCGTTAGGTAAAGAAAAAAATCTGTCCTTTTCACAAAGCATCACATTAAGGCCGGTTTTGAACTCATAAATCCGATTCTGTGTCGTTTACATTCAGCAGCAGCACCGAGGCGCTTTTCCAACGTATCCAAAGATGAAAGCTAACCGGCGGATATTCTGTGGCTTTACTCCGGGCCTATGGCATCAACTTCCAAGGCAACCGGATCCAACCGCAGAAAAACTCCTAAACGAGGCTGTAAATTAGGAGTCGGTTAGCTGAAATAATTAATTCAAACGCTCTCCTCCTTTCGGCGTCTAGCTAACAATCAATAAAGCCGGAGTAACTGCCGCTAAAAGCCAGATAATGGCGAATTTATTGGAAATGTTAGGTTTTTTTCCACATTGAAACTGGCTACAAATCCGTCCCAAAAGCAGCATGATGGAGGCAGAGGGAAGGGAAGGGAGGAGGGGAACAAAAGCGACTAAAAGTGTCCGGTTTATAACTCCGCTAGAAAATGACATTACCTGCAGTCCTGCTGCGAGCAGGAGAAGAAGCAGCCCGCTACCCTCGTGTAACGAGAACATTTGTGCACCCGACACTCCTTTTTTTTATTCCCCTCGGCTTCGGAATCCGTTAAAAAAAAGAAATACAGGAAAAAATATAGATGTTGGTAAATAAATAAAAAAAAATAAGAATATCCCGCTGGATTAACAATGGCCTCGAAAACGCTTTCCGTGAGAGAATGAGAGGAGCAGCAGCAGGAGAAACGGTGTCGGAAGCTTGTAGGAGCCTCCTCCTCTGTGTGTCCGTGCTGAGGGAGAGCTGTGCCTGGTACTGAAGCTGCTCCCTCCCTCCCATCCAGCCCCACCGACACAAAAACAAACCGAGCTGCGGCCACTAGGCTTTAAATCCTCCATCTCACTGTCTCTCCCTGCTGGTGGCACAGCCAATTTCTTTTCTTTTTTTTTGGGTTGGATTGAGAGGCCAGGAGGTCTTCTCAACTATATATTTTTATTTTATTCATGTTTTGCGCTTGTTTTTGCCTTGTGGACATTTTTTGATACATACCAAATGTAAAGTCAGCTTGAAACACAAGAGAGAGAAAAAAACTGCTGATAAGGATTTAGCACCCTGATTATATCAATTGAGACCAATTATGATGCTATCTTAGCAGAAATGAAATGTCCAGTGGCGGTTCTAGACCTGAATGTACCAGGGGGCCAGGAGGGGGCCAGTGTGTTTTCATGGGGGGAAAGGGCAAGGGATTCAAATATATTAAGAGAGCTGCAAGAAGTGAACTTTCTATTCAATTGGGTTAAATAAAAATTCTATTTCTTATGAACATTCATAATTTAGGAATTTTACATGTTTTTCTCTTAATTTAAGTTAAAATGCTAACCATTAACCATTTTCTATCAAATCTGAATTAGATAGAACTCAAGAAAAACTGATAAATCCATTCATTTTCTTACATGCAGGGGCCACCCTGGATAGGTCACCAGCCCATCGCAGGGCAACACAGAGACAAACAACCATTCATACACACATTCAAACCTAAGGAGAATTTAGAGAAGCCAGTCAACCTAACAGTCATGTTTTTGGACTGTGAGAGGAAGCTGGAGAGAACCCACACATGCTCAGGGAGAACATGCAAACTCAATGCAGAGGATCCCAGGCCGGAAATCAAACCCACAACCTTCTTGCTGCAAGGCAGCAGTGCTAGCCACTGCGCAACTGAACTCCCCCTCATAAATCCAGCTGTGAAAAATTATATTTTTCATTATTTTTTTAATTTGTTTTGAAAAAAAAAACATTTAGCAGATGAAAATTGCAATCCCATCTCAATACCACTGAAGATAACACCTTATTGTTTTTAATTAATTAGTAAAACATAATTTGTAAAGAAAAGAAAATGAAATAGATAAAAAGGACCTATCAGTAACCATGTCTGTTCTAGCACATATCATCATTAGAATTTCTTTTAAGTATTATTTCTTCAGTACAGGGGCCACAACAGGGGCCAGGACATGATTTACAGGGGCACTGGCCCCCGTTGGCCCGTGTTTAGAACCGCTCATGGCGTAGCCAGAAAATTCTAATAGAGGTGGCCAGTCAATAACCAATGACCATTGAGAGGTGGCCGAAAGGCACCAGAACCTCAGGGTCAATCTACTGTTCCAACAGGAACGAGCACTAGGGTTGTCACGATACTAAACTTTTCAACTCGATACCGATACTAAGGAAAATATTCGATACTCAATACCATTTTCGATACCACAAGGATAAAAACAAAGAATCCAAAATTCAACAGAAATATTTTCATTAATAAATAAAATACAATAAATAAATACAATAAAGGTTGTATGCTGTGCATAATATTATGCAAGCTTGATAAAAAACTTATAAAATTCAAATTAAGTGTTCCTTCCTTGGCTATGCTTTGCACACATAACAATGACACTAGCCAAACCAGTTAAGAAATAAAAATAATTCTCAGCAGCTGCACCTGTTACAAAAAAAAAGTCTGAAACTGAAAAGAGCACAGAATTATTCAATCACACAGTGTTCTGAAAGTGCATTGTCCTCTATTCTGCACTTTAGATGAATGACTGCTTAGGTGCCACTGGTGACGGCACTGTATCGATACTTTTAAAAACGAGTATTGTATCCGGATACAACATTTCAGTATCGATACTTTTTTGAGTTTCGATACTTTTGACAACCCTAACGAGCACAACATCCATTTTTTCTAAATAAAGATAAACTATACTTTCCTGCAGCCTTTGCTAACAAATAGATGCATATATTTAAACATCTATGCTGTGCAGAAATGTCAAGTAACAAAGTACAAATATTTTGTTACTGTACTTAAGTAGCAGAAGCAAGCAGGAGTTCTTTAAACTGCAAATATGAATTGTCTATGCCATGCTACAGTGTCAGATAAAAAAAAGATGTTGAAATGTCTGAAAGGTCGGACACAGGCGAGAGCGTATCGGGAGATGGAGACGGAGACCAACAAGAACTCCCTCATCCTTGGCCCTATCTCAAAGAATTTTTCGAAATAGTCGAAAAATTGAGCTTTCAATTCATATAGTGGCCTCTGGCTGTTTTTTTTAAAGGTTACTGTATACTTTTATAATTTAAGTAGTTTTTGGAGCACATACTTTTTCACTTTTACTTAAGTTGATACTTTAACTTTTACCAGAGTGTTTTTAAACTACTTCTATTTAAGTAACAAATGTGTTTACTTTTGACACCACTGATGCTGTGTAAATAAAAGGTATAGTGGAGAAAATTATTTCAGGTTTGAGTTCTGGGGCTAACACATTTCAGTTGTCATTACCTACTTTTATCAATAATCATTCTGCAAAAAAAATTATATTTAAATCTATTAATATCCACATTCAATGGATTTTTATGTCCTAGATTACTTGCAGAGGTACATCATTTTATCTTTACCCCAAATAATTCAAAATTTAGTTCTGAAAAGAGCATGAATTCTGTATCTATCATCTTTAATGTTGGTATATTGATGTGCATAATTACCCACAGTGTTTCTGTTGTCAAGTAGTTGTTAATATATGAAAAATTTAAATGTTTATTAAGTTTGAACATTCCCCTTCAGAGTATTATGCTGCCACAGTCTATATTAGAGGGAAAAAATGGTAGGGGTTTGCCAATGACTAAGGATGGCCATGGCCACCCCTGGTCCCCATCTAGCTCCGCCCCTGCTGTGGCTGACTAGTACACGCAACATCACAGAATGAACGGCCCTGTCTGTGTTTTAATGCTATTCTGAGGCTCCATGCACGCTTCTTTTTGCATATTTTATTTAGTTTCCCTAACAGCATTACTTTTTAATGAACGTGCCAGACTCATGTGAAGATACAAAGAGAAAACAAAAATCAAAACAAGAAGAAAAAAAAAAAGCAAATGTCTTAACACATCTCACATGTGATTTATTTACCTTTCTGAAAACATTTGAAAATCATAGCATACAATTGTGCAGCATTTTACTCTATATTGTTTTTCATTAAAATTCCATCCATCAGCTCTGGGCTCCTCTGAGGAAAAAATGTGTTTTGAATGTCACAGGCATCAGTAATTCGGGATTCAGTCAGTTGTCTGCCAGCCTGCATAGAAAAGAGCTGAGGCTTTATTGATCATTAAGCATGAGATTCTGATCACAACCTCCCCTAGGGAATTGCTGTTTACCACATGTTTGATCTCAAGGATTATTAATTATCGATGATTTGGAGCTAAATTCTTTCTTTGTGCTACTCCTTCTTCCCCCCCTCCCCTCTGTTTCCAAGTACAGGCACAGTGTTCTGCCAGACAGGCTGTCTGTTTCAGTGACAAATCAATCACTTTGGAGTTTCTAAATTTGCATTGCATTAATTCCAGTTCACCTAGCCTTGGAATTTATAAGTAAACCTGTTTTTTTTTTTCATGTTTACCTAAAAGAGTCAATGAATGATTCCTTTTCATGTGATGCAGCTCAATGAAGGTTAAATTGCCATCTTGTTCCGACACTTAATTACCCCTCATCAGATGGCTCTATGGAATAGATCACGTTTGTGACAGGAAAATAGTTCTGTTCAGCAAATGAGACAAATTCTACAAAATAACCAAACAGTAAAACAAAAAGCTCACTTGTGCCTCACCCCCTAGGTAAGTCTATTGTTGTCAGATGTAGGCATATTGAGATACAATCATGTGTGAGTGATGAGAACCATGCTGCACTCCTCATGCAACAAATCCCACTTTCTGCCTCTGGAAGCCTCATTTAGCACTAAACATACAACAAATGCCTCCCTAGTAAATTTTACAATTACCAAAAACATGCATACACAGTGGCCCCTATGCTGATATTAATTTGGGGTCCACTTCCTGTTAATCCTCCCTGCTGCTATAGAGCCACTGACCCCTTTTATATTACACATGCTCTGATATTTTTTTTCTTTAGGCATCCTTGTGTTTTGCATTGTGGATTTAATAGCCTAGTTATAGTTGTGGAACCTTTAATAAATCCGCAGCTATGGAAAAAAAGGATACTACTTATATAAATGCTGCTTATGTTTAAATGCGTTTTAGACTGTTACTCTGTTAAGATAACTTGCAGGCTGAGAGCAATTTTTTTTCACTATGACTGCAGCTGAAATAATTTTCTATTATATTTCTGAATAATGTAGAAGTTGTCCATAGCAGTCAAGTTTATTTAAAGTGCAGATTTTGATATCTGGGAAAATAAGCCAAAAATCCAGATCATCTTAGCTACCAGATACATATTTTCCATCCATCCATCCATCCATCCATCCATCCATCCATCCATCCATCCATCCATCCATCCATCCATCCATCCATCCATCCATCCATCCATCCATCCATCCATCCATCCATCCATCCATCCATCCATTAGGATAGGTCGGGAGTCTATGGCAGAGCTCAACCAGAACATGTTTTTATCATAATAGGTTTTGTAAATGATGTAAATGATGTAGAAGTGCAGAGCAATGTGTGTGTTTTTTCCAAGGTTTAATTGTTTTAATGAGTCAATTATGTTTTACAGTTTTAATGACTTAATCTCATTTTACAATTATAAATTAAACCCAAATTCATACTGGTACTTTAATCATTTATTTTTATTTTGAAGAGATAGCCTTTAGATGACAATTGGTCATCTGCTATTCTTACTTACCAATGTTCTTACACATTTTAGCTCTACCTCACACTAAAATAAAAACAAGGTGAGGATGACACTGTCATTAACTTTCCATTTTGGACATTCTTACATATTTGCATGGTATATAGATTTTTAAAGGCCCAGTATGTGATTTTATTTTATTCTCTCTAAGAAAAATGCTTT